GGAGTAAAAGCCTGCACTACCACACCTCACTCAAAATGTTCAGCACATTGTGGCACGGTTCTTGTTGTTTGTTGGTTGGTTTTTTTTTAACACAGGGTCTCTACATGGCCATAACTGTCCTGGAACACCCAGAGATCACCTGTTCCTGCCTCACAAGTGCTGGAACTAAAGACATGTGCCACCACACCTGGCATGAGCCTCTCTTATTTCAGACCTTTTTGTCTCCAAGAACCCAAACTACCCAGATTCCTTTGCTGCTGTGGGATAATGCTTTTGTACACTGTAAAGATTTATTACTTGTATTAGCTTAATAAAATGCTGGTTGATCAGTAGCCAGGCAGGAAATATAGGCGAAGCAACCAGACTAGGAAAATTCTGGGAAAAGGCGGAGACACAGTCACCAGCCAGATACAGAGGAAGCAAGATGAGAATGCCTCACTGAGAAAAGGTACCAAGATGGCTAAACAGAGACAAAAATTATGGGCTAATTTAAGTTGTAAGAACTAGTTAATAATAAGCCTGAGCTAAAAGGCCAAACAGTTTATAGTTAATATAAGACTCTGTGTGATTCTTTGGGACTGAATGGCTGCAGGTCCAAGTGGGACAGAAACTTCTGTCTATGCTTTCTATTTATGATTACTAAAATTTCATTTTTTTGTATTTTTGTACAATATTACAAAAAATTAAAAATAATAATGTAAACAAACTTGGGGTGGATTTAAGAAAGAAATTAGGAGTAAATTGTGAGGACCAGCCTCCAGCAGCTTGAGGGGAACCCACAGAGTCAATGGACTATCGCTCAACTTAACTTTTCTGAGGGAATAAAACTTAATTCGCAGGGGCCAGCAAAGGGGACTAAAAAAGGGGGGCGGGAATCTAAATCTTAAGTTCTGGTTTAAATCTTTTAAAGTTAAAGGCCATGATTTAATTGGATTTTGTTTGTTATTTAATTTTCTGCTTTTGGTGTGCTAAACGATCAGACTTTGGCAAGGGAAGAAGTTAGAGGAGGCTTATGAAGGCCGATTCTCTAGGGAATGCTTATTATCTTACCTGGTATTCCAAGTTTCTGGGGCGTAATTAGTAGTGAGTTTACGTCAGGCCGACGTCTGAAACTCCAGCTGTCTGTCTGGGTCCTTCTGTGCTGGAATGCACTACAGGCATGCACAGTCTACTGCAAGCATGCATGGTGCATCCCCCAAGTGGTCAGCTGCAGAACACAGCCCCAGATGAAGCATGAAGCCCTGGGAGCCCCAGGGGAATGCCATTAGGCATCGTGTGGGGCTTGACTTTGTCAAATAGCTCTTTATACATTTTCTTTCTGGGACCCTTACAGCTAAAAGATGATAATGGTCCTACTTGTACTAACAAACATCTTAAAGAACTTTGTAGTTTATGGAATATTAATCATGTTACTAAATTCCCTTAAAAACCCCACAGGGTTAAGCTCTTGTGGAGTGACATCATCAAATACTTAATTGGCAAATTTTAAAAATAGAAGAGGGTGACTGGGAAGTGAGTGGGATTAGGATGTATGCTATGACATTACCAAGGAATCAATAAAAATATATAAAAAAAAGATAAAAAAAAATAGAAGGGGGTACATCCACCCAAATCACCACATGGTACGTTTAGCTATTTTAAGTACTTTAATTTTTTTCACTTTAGAGGATAATGCTTTTTCTGCTGCCCAAAAGCATTTCGTCCTAAAGGGGTCACGGCCTAAAATATATGTTAAAAGAAAAGATCTCGAAATGAATCAGTGATAGCGTCCAATGTTCCTGTAGCATCAGGTCGAGGTTCTGCTTATCTCTTTCCAGAAAATCAGTCAAGTCCTGTGTGGCTCTCATGTCGATGCATTCGGCAGGACAGCACCCTGAAGACCACCAGACAAATGAATCATGTGAGGATAGGTGACAGACCCATTAGCCGGTCACTTGGGGAGACATCGAGACATTACGCATCAAGCCCAGGCTTTGTGGAAACAGCAAGCATATGATACTGTTGACCCTAAAATGCTGCTGCTATGGTACCGACGGTATTATGTGTTAATTCTCAGCTTGTTAATCAGAACCCAAATGCCTTTTTGTGTGTGTGTGGGGGGGCTGTATTAAGAGACAATATGATATTGTTTGGTCAGGCTAAGGATTGTTTTTAGGCTTTTTTATTGCCAGTTCCAGGAATGGTTACTGATATACAAAAGTGAGGGCTCAAAGACGACCTGCGTGATTAGTGAAACTACTAATATTTCAGCAAAATATTAACAGAAACTAATCAAGAGGTGGATGATTTGAGAACTACACTTTTACAAAACGGCTACTCTAAATTATTTGTTGTTCAAACATAATCTTGATTATCAACAATTTCCTAGTATGTGTTGCTTTAGTAGGTCAGATTTTTTTTTCTCATGCTATAGAGGGTCAAAGCAACAATTTACATAAAGAGATAGGCAGAGATTCTCCCAAGTGACCTTTGAATAGACATCATGGTGAAGGTGGCTTTTCCCTTCCCTTGGTCCTCTGTTAGCTGTTCTTAAATTTCTCTTATATTAATTAGACTAGCCATAGAGGCAGTGCAGTTAACCGTGGCCTCTATGACAACATTTAGAAGTGGAGCAAAGTAGAGGGCACAAGGCCTTTGTGCTCATAGATAAGCACTAGGGAAAACAGGATTATTAAACACACAGGTTGTCTCTTCAACACAAGAAGTATGTAACCTGTTTTCTGCCCAGAAGGCTGGAATTGGGTGTAGTTAAGATGGCTCCACAGTTAAGAGCACTGCCTGCTCTTTCAAAGGTCCTGAGTTCAATTCCCAGCAATCACATGATGGCTCACAACCATCTGTAATGTGATCTGGTGCCCTCTTGAGGAAGAGACCTGGTCAGTCGTCCTTATCAACTTAGACCCTGAAACCCAACATGGACAAGTTCAACAGAACTGCCATATGCATGCTTCAGCATTGCCAGAGCATAAATTTCAATTTCATTCGATAGCCTGGTGACCTGTGCTATCTGGAAGGCCAGGCCACATCCGGCTCCCAGGCATTTTTGTTTATCCCAGACCCTTTATCCCTAGACCTTCATCTTGAGCCTTGTTTCTCAGCCAATGGGACCCATGCTTACAGGAGCTGTCACATGTACTTCATAAACGGAGCAGAGACACCCCCCCCAGATAGTGTCTTGTGTTTATTTATTTTTTAATTTATTTTATTCAATGTACATTAGTATGAGGGTGTCAGATCCCCTGGAACTGGAGTTACAGACGGTTGTGAGCTTCCATCATGTGGGTGCTGGGAATTGAACCTGGGTCCTCAGGAAGAACAGTCAGTGCTCTTAACCACTGAACCATTTCTCCAGCCGACTCTCATTTTTTTAGAGAACTGAAAACCTGGAGAATGAAAAGGTTGTTATTTCTATTATTTCATCTTATTAACTCTGTAAACACACATGGCCAGAGCTGAGAGTCACCCTGGGTCCCTTTGTTCTCTGCACACCACTACACATTCCTGTGTTTATAAAGTGCGGTTTGGAGGCTGGTGTTTGTTCTGATGAGTGCTTTGCTCGTTATGCAAGCATGATCTTGCTTTGAACTCAGTGTGGTGGGTATCCAGTGGACCGGCTCTTTCTGCCACGCAAGTTTGATTTTCCTTGGATCAGTTTCAAAGAGTATCCAAATTCATAGGCGCGTTTTACTTTATAAAATATTTCTGACTAAATAGATTTACAGTCACAACCATTTTCATAAACCTGGCACCAATTTACTTTTAATATGACTTTTTTTGTTTGGTTTGTTTTGTTCTTTGAGACAGAGTTTCTATGTGTAACCACCTTGGTTGTCCTGGAACTCGCTCTGTAGACCGGGTTGGCCTTGAACTCACAGACATCCACCTATCTCTACCTTCTTAGTGCTGGGATTAAAGGCCTGTGCCACCACTGCTCAGTTTAGTGTAACCTTTAAAACTTTGTAGTCATGTATTCTATTTTCTGATAATTTATAGTACCTTAGAAGTGTAAGTTACCTGATCTATAGCTTTTTAGGCATCATCACTAATAATTTGAAATATCTTGCTCACCTTTTAAATTTTTTTGTATTTATGTGTATGAGTGTTTTGCCTGCATGTATGTCTGTTCACTGTTTACATACAGTGATGGTGAAGGGCAGAAGAGGGCATTGCCTTGCCCAGAACTGGACTGTCAGACCATTATGAGGCATTTTGTGGGTGCTGCGAATTCAAATCAAACCCAGTCCTTCTAGAAGATCGGTCAGTTCTCTTAATCACTGAGCCATCTCTCCAGCCCCTTGCTCACCTTTTAAAAATATTGATTGACTGATTGATTGATTGATTGTTGGGGATAGGGAATTCGAGGACAGCTTGTGGAAGTCAGTTCCCATCATGTTTGTTTTGTGACCAAACAAGCAAGCACCTTACCCACTGAGCCATCCTGCCAGTTCTTCTTCCACCTGCTTTCACATCTCAACCTCTGGACCCACATCTTACTCATGTGATACAATGGCTTATAAGCCACATCAGTCATGGCCTGAGGAGAAGCAGACAACGTGCGATAAAGGAAGGGAGCTAAAAAAAAAAATTGAGATGGGAAAGAGTGATAAAGTATATTATATATAATATTTTTTAAGTTTATTATAGTATATATACTATATATAAAGTATATTATAGTACATTTAAAGTGTATTATAGTATTTATAGTACATATAAATCATAGTATTTATTGTATAAAGTATATTATAATCCAAATCAAGCATTGCCTAAGGAAGAACTTACATAGCTTACAATAAAAAAATAGCTATATAAAAAATGGGATGAAATAATGATATTACAAGCAAGAGTGACGTGCAATCGTTTAGAGCAAGAGGCTTGCTGATTATCCCTCCCTTTTACTCTCACACCTAGCATTCATTTAAGGACTATTAATTTTCTCCTTTAAATTTACTCAAAGCTGCCCACATCTCCAGATTACTGAAGTAGCACATTTTAATTGTCCAAATTTGAGATTAGACTTCTCCATTCAAACACCCATGTAATGTGGGCTGATAAAGTGATGATGGAATGTGTTCTGCATAGGACACACCTTTTAATTGGAGCAAACAGCAAATTGTTCTAATTTAAATGGTAGACCACATGACTAGAGTCTTAGAAATGCAATTCTCAGATTTGGATCTGCCTATTCTAGTGGCACTGTAAGACAATAGCTATAGTGCTGAAAAAAGGATTCAGGAATACCCAGTGAAAGGTTTTCTGGTGGCTGCAGAGATGGCTCAACAGGAGAGGGCCTGTCTTAGTCACTCTTCTATTGTGGTGAAGAGACACCATGACCACAGCAACTCTTAGAAAAGAAAGACAGCATTCAGTGGGGGCTTGCTTATAGCTTTAGAGGAAAAGGTATAGTGGCACTATTAAACCCTTATCTATTTTTCGCATGCCACATTTTTTTTCTTTTATTTAAATATTTTTTATGGTTTATTTTAACTTTATTTTATGTGCATTGGTGTGAAGGTGTCAGATCCCCTGCAACTGGATCTTCAGACAGTTGTGAGCTGCCATGTGGGTGCTGGGAATTGAACCCGGGTCCTCTGCAAGAGCAGTCAGTGCTCTTAACCACTGAGCCATTTCTCCAGCCCCGCATGCCACATTTTTTAAATAATTATTTATTTGTATTTTATGCACATTGGTGTTTTGCCTGCATATATATCTGTGTGAGGTGTCAGATCCCCTGGAACTGTAGTTACAGACAGTTGTGAGCCACCACGTGGGTGCTGAGAACACTGGTCCTCTGGAAGAGCAGTCAGTGCTCTTAACTGCTGAGCCATCTCTCAGCCCCTCCTGCTGCATCTTTATCAGCTGAGTGTTTGCTAAAACTGAGGGTAAGAGGGATTAGATTATCTTTGGGCAAATCTGTGTAGATATGCTTAATCTGAGACTATTCAAAAAAGTACTGATTAGTAGTTTGGATGTTTCTTTAAGAATTGCCTTGGGCGGCAGGGGTGACCTGGAGCCCTTATTGCTCTTGCAGAGGACCTGGATTTGTTCCCATCATCTACATGACTGCTAACATCTGGTTCATAGCTCTAGTTCCAGGGGAGTTGGTACCCTCATGTGACCTATGTGGGCACTAGGCACACATACAGTACACGAACATGTACAGGCAAAATACTCATACATGAGATATGAAAATAAATAAACCTTTGGAGAGTGGTGGTGCACGCTTTTAATCCCAGCATTCAGGTGTCAGAGGCAGGCAAATCTCTGAGTTTGAGGCCAGTAAGAGGTCCAGGACAGCCAAAACTACACAGAGAAACCCTGTCTCGAAAACCCAAATCCCAAATAAATAAATCTTTTTAAATTTTTTCCTTTCACTATTTAGAGATCATATAATTTAAAGTTTTTTTCCACTCTTAATTTCAGCTCCAGTATGCTGCTCTGCTCGGTACAACTTAGCGATTTTGGCTTTCTTTGGTTTTTTCGTTCTTTATTCCTTACGTGTGAACCTGAGTGTTGCATTGGTGGACATGGTGGAGTCAAATACAACCATGACCGATAACACAACTTCCAAGGAGTGTGCAGAACATTCCGCCCCCGTAAAAGTTCACCACAATCACACGGTAAGTGTTTAAAATTTTTAAAGTGTTTTAAATAGTGATAATAAAATACTTACAAGTAAAAATAATGAAAAAAATGCCTTTATTAGAAAGAAACCAAAATATGTGTTTGTGTGTGTATATTCTTCCCAGGTTAAGAGCACTTTCTGTTTCCTTGGGAGTTGGTTGAGCAATTAATTGTACAATTGTGTGTACAATATACACACACACACACACACACACAATTAATATGTGCTAACACATATATTAATCTGTTTGGAGAGTCGTTTTTCGGTTTCCTGAGGAGAATTTGGAGAAATCTCATTGGTACATCAGAAAGTTAGATTTTTTTTTTTCAAGAAGATTTCTCAGTAGCTCTGAATCCAGTCTTGGAACTCTGTAGACCAAACTGTCTCACAGACATCCTCCTCGATGTCTCGAGGAGACATCACAGATGTCCTCGAACTCACAGAGATCCTCCTGTCTCTGCTTCCTGAGTGCTGGGATTAAAGGTGTGTGCCATCATCGCCTGGCATTTAAATCTAAATAAGTAGTTTCTCCAGGACATTATTGGATAGCTTTTCTTTTTCTATTTTTCTATCTTTTTATCTACCTATTTATTTATTTTTGAGGCAGGGTCTCTGTACATAGCCTTGGCTGTCCTGGAACTCACTGTAGCACCCTGTAGACCCAACACATCACAGAGCTGCCTCTGCCCCTGCCTCCTTAGTGCTGGCATCCAAGGCTGTGCCACCACAGCCAAGCCCAAGCCTGTGACTCTTTTTTTGAACCTTCTCAGTCAGGGTTGTTACTGAGCCTCCGCAACTCCTCTTGTAGTGTAGTGTCCTAGAACGGCAAGCCTCTTGAAGGGCGTGGCTTTTAGTTCTTGTCCACTCACCTCCGGAACCGCATGTTGTAGTGGCTCAGCTGCCTTAGAGAGCTTGTCTTAGGTCTCTGCTGCTGTGATGAACGCAACACAGGGCAGCGTGGGGAGGGAAGCATCGAGTTCATCTTACAGCTGACAGTCCAGCATGCAGGGAAGAAGGTGCAGGCTCTAGAGCAGAGACTGGAGGAACACTACTTGTCAGATTCCCTCTAACTGTTCAACTCAGCCCAGGACCACCTACCTGTCCACAGTAGCTGATTGTCATCACAGTAGCATCAATTGTCAATCAAGAAAAGGCCAAGATGGGGGCTGGAGAGGTGGCTCAGAGGTTAAGAGCACTGACTGCTCTTCCAGAGGTCCTGAGTTCAAATCCCAGCAACTACATGGTGGCTCACAACCATCTGTAATGAGATCTGGTGCCCTCTTCTGGCCTGCAGGCATACATGGAGGCTGAACACAGTGTACATAATAAATAAATAAATCTTTAAAAGAAAAGAAAAGAAAAGGCCAAGACTTACCCATAGGTCAGTCTGATGGCAGCATTTTCTTCATCGAGGTTCCCTCTTCCCAGATGATCCTAGTTGTGTCAAGATGACAGAATTAAAAAAAAAAAAGCAACCAGCATAGTTTATATGTTCCGTAGTCCAAAATAATACTTCAAAATTTCAAAGTTGAAACGATCATTTTATCTCTCTGCTTTTTTTTTTTTTTTTTTTTTCAGGGTAAAAAGTACCCGTGGGACGCAGAAACTCAAGGGTGGATTCTAGGCTCTTTTTTTTACGGCTACATCATCACGCAGATTCCCGGGGGGTACATGGCCAGCAGAATCGGAGGCAAGCTGCTGTTGGGCTTCGGCATCCTGGGCACTGCTGTCTTCACCCTGTTCACACCCATGGCCGCAGACTTGGGCGTGGTGACCCTTATAGTGCTGAGAGCTCTCGAAGGGCTAGGAGAGGTAAACATTCTTGGTTCTTGTTTTACTGCGTAGTCTTTGTCTTCTCCTCTCTACTAGGCGAAGTATCCTTTTAAGAGATTTTTTTTTTTAATTTTTATTTTATATATGTAAGTGTTTGTCCGCATGTTCATGATGTGGGTGCAGGTGCAGATGCCTGCAGAAGCCAGAAGAGGGCGTCCGATCTCCTGGAACTGGAGTTAGAGCCACCGGGAGCCCCAGTCCTCTGCAGCAGCAGCCAGTGCCCTTAACCACTGAGCCATCTCCAGCCAAGAGAACATTTTCTGAGGGAGACAGTAGCTCATGCTTCAGAAGACAGAGAAATAAACCCCTGTCCCAGAGGCTAAGGTGGCCCACACTTGCCATCCATACCTGCGTTTTGGCACTTTTTAGAAAGACATACTGTTTTTGATTGTGTCTGTCTCTGTGTGTCTGTGTGCTCATGAAGAAGAATACCAGAAGAAGGTATTGAGTGAACTCCTCGAACTGGAGTTACAAGTAGTTGTGAGCCACCAGATAGATGCTGGAATTGAATCTAGGTCCTCTGGAAGGACGGCCAGTGTTCGTAACTCCTGAGCCATCTCTCCAGACCCTGTTTTGGTGCATTTTACAAAACATGTTGTTAAATTGCCTTGTTTTACTAAATTTGTTATTTATGGAACTTTCTCTTTATCATTAGTTCATTTTTTTTCTGCTCTTCTAACTTAGAGACAAATAATTTGTTTTTTTATCTAACTATACCAATTTACTTCTAGGATTCTTCTAAGCGTTTATGGAAAACATTACTCTTTGTTTTATGCCCTTCATCGTTTTTGTTTTTGTTTTTCCTTACTTGATTTTGTTGCAGTACTAGGGAATCAAACCCAGAGCCTTGCCCATGCTGCAACGTTCTCTCCCACTGAGCTGACCCCACAGCCCCATTTAGGGATCTCTTCATTCCTGTCTTTCTTTTCCTCTCTGTGCTTTTTTGTGTCTCCATCTTGAATGATGAGTGATCTCCAGGCCGGGAGCTGCTCAGTGATTATGAGCCTTGACTCAAGCACAAGGTAGCCTGAGGTCCGCGTAGCTCTCAGAGGCTGGGAGATCGTAGCATCCACCGTATCATATCCATCGTACAGTAGCATCCTGGGGGGACGCTGGAGGGAAAACACTAGCCTTGCAACAGCAGTCCCATAGTCGCAGCAAAGCATCCCTTAAACCCTAATCCCTCTTCCTCAGTTGTATTTTAGTAGGTGAGATTTAAGTACCTGCCCATCCTCAGTCACAGGAAACATACACAGCTTATATGTGGTAAAATTTGCTGGAAGGCTCTAGAGATTTCCAGGCTCTCATGTTATTTTTGGTTTATATGAGACAGGGTCTCTCTATGTAGTTCTGTCTGTCCAGAATGCACTATGGAAACCAGGCTGGCCTCAAACTCAGAGATTTGCGTGCCTCTGCCTCGTGAGCTGGGATTGAAGCTGTACCACCACACCTGGCCCCAGGTTCTAATTTTAAAGGTGTTTTTGTTTTTGTTTTGTTTTGTTTTGTTTTGTTTTGTTTTTCCCAAGACAGATTTTCTCTATTGTGTAACCCTGGCTGTCCTAGGACTCACTCTTATAGATCACGCTGGCCTTGAACTCATAGAGATCCGCCTGCCTCTGCCTCCCAAGTGCTGGGATTAGAGGCGTGCACCCTCACAGCCGGTTTAAAGTTTGGCTAGTAGTTTTCATGTTCTAGTCTGTCCAAATAGCAGTCCTCAAGGAAGTCTCTTAAATAATTCCTTCCTGGTTATAGTATAAGCACTATCAGCTTCTATCAGTTCCCAGGTTTGTTTTCTCCTTCTTCTTACCTAAGTAAAATGTATTTATTTGTAGTCTGTTGCTTCTGGTCCCGTTACCGTATCTCTTTACTGAACTGCTCTCCTAGTAGCTCCTTGTCTGTGGATGTTTGACATTGTAGTCTGTGGTTTCTACGCCGTCACAGATGGCCCCATAGCTTTTAATAGAATTGAAATTGTGTCTGTACTTAGATTGTCTCATCTTTCACCATTCTTCCTGTACATGCCACACATCTCATCCATAAAGCTCGGTCAGCAACTTTGATCTTTTCTGTCTGATTTTGAAGCTGCCTTGTATTTCATCAGAAATATCCACCCCCAGGGTGTTACGTTTCCAGCCATGCATGCCATGTGGTCTTCCTGGGCGCCCCCTCTTGAAAGAAGCAAGCTGCTTACCATTTCCTACGCAGGTAAGATAACGATCCTTATAAAGCTTCTGCCGTAGTCTGATGCATATGTACCAGCCTTGAGAAACATGCCTGCATGCCATAATCCCTCGGTATAGATGCCTCTTCCTGGGGGAAATAACCTTCTAAGGGTAGCCCTTCAATATCATTTTTTCTCTTTGATTCAGAAAGAGAATAATGTACCGTGATTGATTAATGCCACCTCTTCTCCCTGCTGTCATTTATCTCAAAGTATATTGTCTTTTCAAATATTGGAACTTATAAACTAGTTCAGTAGTTGGAAAAAATTACTGATTTTCTTTCATTGTGATTTTGTTGTTGTTGTTTGGTCACTTGGTTTTGGGTCTTTTGTTTTTTGTGTGTTTGTTTGGAGACAGGGTTTCACTATATATCCTTGACTGGCCTGAAACATGCTATGTAGACCAAGCTACCCCAGATCTCATAGAGATCTGCCTTCTTCTGCTTCCCAAGTCCTGGGACTAAAGGCATGTACCACCATTGCCATTGATATTTATTTTCTTTCATTTCGGAGATATGTGTATGTGTTTGTGTGTACGTGTGCACAGGAGTACAGATACCCACAAAGGCATCAGATCGGGTATATGTGTGTGTGTGTGTTTGTGTGTGTACATGCACATGAGCACAGATGCCCACGAAGGCACCAGATCCCCTGGAGCTGGAGTTACAGGCAGTTGTGAGCTGCCTGGTGTGGTCACTAGGAGTTGAATTCAGGTCCTATAGGAGAAACAATATATGCTCTTAATTTTGTGTGTATGTTGTGTGTGTCTGAGTGTGCAAACCAACTGTTCCCAAGGCATCTGCTGACAGGACAGCAATGCCTGTGGGTTGGTAGCAGGTGAGGAGATAAGCCACTCTGGAGCGAACAGCATCTAGTTCACTGCACGTGAGCAGCCACTGGTATGTTGGAAGCCTGTCGACTGGGACTGGCTAGCACATTTCCTCGCATTTGACAGTGAGCGCTCAAACCACCAGGGTCCCTGTGTGGCAGAAACACATTAAAGGAGACATAGAGAGTGCAGACTGGTACTCAGTGGCTGTACAGTCTGTTGTTCAGGCTTCATCTCTGCCCCTATCCTTTATCCAAGTGAAGCTCCCAGTCCTGTTGTTCTCAGTCCTCTGTTCATTCTGTTACCTGCTTCCTGTTCCTGTGTTGTTCTTGGTTTTGGTTTTTCAAAACAGGGTTTCTCTGTGTAGTCCCAGCTGTCCTGAAACTTGATCTGTAGACCAGGCTGGCCTCGAACGCAAAGATCTGCCTGCCTCTGCCTCCCGAGTGCTGGGATTAAAGGGGGGGACCACTGCACCCAGCTATCACTTCTTCCTTATTGTCTTTTTTTTTTCTTGCTCTGGGACCTAATTTTAGTCATGCTTTCAGACTCTGATTGCTGCTCCGTAAATCTTTCCCTCACTTTGGGAGGTCAGAAATAGCTCTGTGTTGCCCTGTGGCTCTCATACTTCCTGATATGGAATAGTTGTCAGTTTATATCTGTCTCCTACCAATGACTAAAATATGGGATCAGAAATAATGTCTAAGCCAGATTATGGTAACATGTATCTATAATTTCAGTTCTTCAGAAGTAGAGGCAGGAAGATTAGGAGTTCGTGGTCATCCTTAGCTACATATACACTAAGCTACCTGAGACCTTGCTTTAAAAGTAAATAAATATTATCTAGCAAAGCAAGGTAATCCCAGCACCTGGGAGACTGAGGCAAGAGCATTTCTGTTAATTTGAGGCAAGCCTAAACTACATAGAGTTCATGACCAGCCTGGGCTACAGGGTACAATCCTGTCCCATTTTAAAAAGAGAAAAAGATAGAGACTATCATTTAGCTCCTATTGCATTTAACTGAAATGTCCTTTATTATCTGGTAAGAATGTTTTATAAAACAATTGTTTATAGTATATACAATTCTGAAAAGCCTCATTCTTCTTATAACAAGCATGCACATACCCACTGGCCCAGGTCAACCTTTGTAGGCTGGAATTAACGCATGTACCACTGTGCACGGCTGTCACACCGATTAGTACCTCCTATTCGTCAGCATCCGCAGAGTTGTAATGTGTGTAACTGTACTAGTACATATGCTTTCGTTTTCTAGGAGCGTGCTGGATTTTGTCTTCACATGTAGCTGCTTCTAATTCAGTAGTTCTTTCTGTCCCGTGTCCTGTCCC